CAGTCGAGCAAGCCCGACAGTAAAATAGCCTGTACTCCACAAAAAAAAAAAAAAATTAAAAAAAAAAAAATTTTTTAAAAATTAAGTCTCTATATATATAAAACAGTTTGTCCTGACTGACTGATTGGCAATCAACGCACAGCCCAAACGGTAAGAGCTAGGAAGCTGAAATTTAGACACAAGATCCCTCTTATTGTGAAAGTGAGCACTAGGAAGGGGTTTCGGAAAATTCCAGCTCCAAAGGGGGGAAAACGAGCTCCAACGTTTGTATGAAAAATCTACAATTTGTATCCGATTAACTTCAAACTTAGTTTACTCTCACAAAGAATACAAAAAAAACTGTATACTTGGATTTTCAATATTTTTCCTGCGGCCTGAATAATAATGATTTTCCGGTGGAAAATTCGGTAAACGAAAAGCTATTTGCAATCAACGCACAGCCCAAACGGTAAGAGCTAGGCGGCTGAACATTGGACACATGTTGTCTTCAGTGGTGTAGGTGAGCACTAAGATGGGGTTTTGGAAAATTCGAACGCCAAGGGGGGCAAAACGGGCTCCAACGTTTGTATGAAAATTCTACAATTTTCATCCAATTAACTTCAAACTTAGTTTGTATACTCTCAAAAAGAATACAAGAAAAACTGCATACTTGGTTTTTCACCATTTTTCCTGGGGCATGAAAAAGGGGGGGTTTTCCGTGGAAAAATTGAAACACAATCAACACCCCACAGCCCAAACGGTAAAAGCTAGGATGCTGAAATTTGGGCTCAAGTATCCTATCATGGTGTAGATGCGCACTAAGAAGGGATTTTGGAAAATTCGAGCTCCAAAGGGGGGAAAAGTAGCTCCAAAGTTTGTTTGAAAATTCTGCATTTCAGAAACGATCAACTTTAAATTTGGTTTTTATAATCTAAAAAAATACAAACAAAACTGCATACTCGGTTTTTCGAAATTTCTGTTGTAGCTTGAATTATTGGGGTTTTAATATTTATTCATTTTTACAAATAAAAAGTTTGTGTTATAAATTTTGTCCGATCGATTTCAAATTTGGGTAATATAATCTACGTAACTAAAATTACAACTTTGCATTTAACGATTTTTAAAATATGCATTTTACAAATGCAGGCAGAACAAACAATACAAAATATCAAACAGTTGGGGACAACTAAGTATACATACACACAAACATACATACAATCAGCTGTTTGTGTAGTTGCGTGCAAACGGTTGAAGTAGCCAAAGCAAAATGTGAGACGCTAGAAGAAGAAATGTTAATTAGTTAAAAATTATTAACATTATAACATAAACATTTTTATGTTATTTTTTCTTTGTTTAGTACATTTGGCATAAGGGGTTTTTAGGACAACGGACTACAAGGGCGTACGCAGGTTGGGCAGGGGGGACATTGCTCCCCCTAGAAAGAATTTCGCATTATGAATTACACCAGCACCATATGTATTACATACGTACATACATATGTACACACGGCTGTATATATAGTATGAACATATGTACATCAATAAGTATGTATGTACGTACATACATTCTTATATATGTACATATATAGGTTTGTATGTATGCAGTGGGCCATCGAACACTGTTGTTTAATTGTAACAAATAGTGTTATATGGTTTCAAATCAAAATTTTTAAAACAATAACAACAACTTCAAGTTATTGGCTCGCAAATCTTCTTTCGTTTTGATCATTTACGGCTGTTAATTGCATACGCAAAATGCCAAAAGTTTACAATTACCGTACACAACAAATAAATTTGTATGTATGTATGTATGTGTACAGTGAACAATCGAATACAGTATTATAATCAATAACTCTCAAACGATGTTTTTCGATGTATTTGTATTCGACATGTATTACGATATATCAACACAAGTATCGATATTTTCGATATATCGCATTTAATTTTATTATTGGGGTTTTAATATTTATTCACTTTTTCAAATAAATAGTTTGTGTTATAAATTTTGTCCGATCGATTTCAAATTTGGGTAATGTAATCAACATAACTATATCAACAAATTGGCATTCAACGATTAAAATATAGCAATATGTTTTTTACTTGCCATATATCAAATATCAAATAGTTGGGGACATCACATACACACACTCACACATACATACAACAAGCAACAGTTCGTGTCTATGTGTGCCCATGTATATGATTTGTTCTTATTGACCTCAATAAATAATTAGATTTTATTATTTAAATATTCTGCTAATTGCATTCAAACTTCGATATTTTGGTATTCTGGTATCGGTGGCTTCAACTATCGAAAGTTTTACTCTAGCAAATTGAGATGAGAATTGTCAGTGCTTTTTGATCGTGGCTCATCGCGGCACGGCATTGACACGAGTGCCATGTTTCATATTCCGAGTTTGTGCGTGACCGTATTGACTCAATATGGCACGAAAAGACTCAAATGTGAATTTAAAATTGGGATATACCCTTATAATTATTCCCCTTTTTTGCACATAGTCTATCTTAAAACGTTGTGTTATCTCTATATATAAAACAGTTTGTCCTGACTAATTGGTGATCAACGCACAGCCCAAACGGTAAAAGATGAAATTTTGACTCAAGTATCCTTTCATAGTATCCATCATAGTGTAGGAGCACACTAAGAAAGGCTTTTGGAAAATTCTAGCTCCAAAGGGGGGAAAACGACCTTTAAAAAATATTAGTTATAGTGGTCATGTTCGTTTTACGAAATAGTTTGGCAAGAACAAAAATGTAACGGACTACTGAACAATTTTTTGTCAAGAACAGAATATGTTCATTTAAATACCTGAAATGCCTTCCTACTGGTAACTTATAAGGTGAAAACATATGGGTAGGTTTTGCACACACAAAATAAATACAATTGGAAACATTATATTGAGCCTGGTTAGGACGGGCAATACCTGCTAGTTATTAAATAAAATGAATGAATGAATGAATTAATTAAATTAAATTAGAATACATGTTTATGTTCAGTTTTAACAGCATACATTTACATCACGTACCTATGCGTGTTTATATGCGTGTATATATGCAGCAACAACAACAACAGCTGCGGGCAGCTGCAGGCAGCGCATGAGCAGCGCATGAGCAGCGATTTTACTTATGGCTATAACTTTCTTCAGAGTAGACCTATCATGATGAAATTTGGCACACGGACAAATTAGTACTAACTGGATGTACCTACCAAAATTGTATCAGAAAAAATAAACAAACTCGATCTGCCTAGGGCTTATAGGAACCTTGATACCAATTTTGGTTATCCTAGCTCTTGTACTTACTGAGATCCTTGCGCTCATACAGACAGACGGACAGACAGACAGACGGATATGGTTATATCGACTCGTCTTCTCATCCTGATCAAGAATATATATACTTTGTGGGGCCTGCCACGCCTCCTTCTGTGTGTTACATACATGCGCACAAAACTAGTATAGCCTTTCACCCTTTGGGTACAGGCTATAAAAAATTACTTTTAAAAATGTTATATAATTTTCATTTAATTAACATTTCTTGCTCTGTCAGTGCAAGACGAATGTACATACATACATATGTAGATACATATGTACATACAAAGATGTGCACATATGTATGGACATTCACACATTAGTGTCTCACATTTTGCTTTGGCTATTTCAATCGTTTGCACGCAACTACACGAACAGCTGCTTGCATGTGTGTGTGTGTGTGTGTATGTGTGTGTATGTGTGTGTATGTATACTTAGTTGTCCCCAACTGTTTGATATTTTGTATATTTTGTTCTGCCTGCTTTTGTAAAATGCATATTTTGAAAATCCTTGAATACAAAGTTGTAGATTTAGTTACGAAGATAACATTACCCAAATTTTAAATCGATCGGACTAAATTTATAACACAAACTTTTCATTTGAAATAGTGAATAAATATTAAAACCCCAATAATTCAAGCTCCAACACTTTCGAAAATCGAAGTATGCAGTTTTGTTTGTATTCTTTAATTGATATTAGAAACTAAGTTTTAAGTCGATCGGTTGAAAAATGCGGATTTTTCAAACAAACTTTGGAGCTACTTTTCCCCCCTTTGGAGCTCGAATTTTCCAAAATCCCTTCTTAGTGCGCATCTACAACATGATAGGATACTTGAGCCCAAATTTCAGCATCCTAGCTTTTACCGTTTGGGCTGTGGGGTGTTGATTGTGTTTCTATTTTTCCACGGAAAACCCCCCCTTTTTCATGCCACAGGAACCAAGTATACAGTTTTTCTTGTATGCTTTTTGAGAGTATACAAACTTTGAAAGTTTGAAGTTAATTGGATGAAAATTGTAGATTTTTCATACAAACGTTGAAGCCCGTTTTCCCCCCTTTGGCGTTCGAATTTTCCAAAACCGCTTCTTAGTGCTCACCTACACCACTGAAGACAACATGTGTCCAATTTTCAGCCTCCTAGCTCTTACCGTTTGGGCTGTGCGTTGATTGCAAATAGCTTTTCGTTTACCGAATTTTCCACTGGAAAATCATTATTATTCAGGCCGCAGGAAAAATATTGAAAATCCAAGTATACAGTTTTTTTTGTATTCTTTGTGAGAGTATACAAACTAAGTTTGAAGTTAATCGGATAAAAATTGTAGATTTTTCATACAAACGTTGGAGCTCGTTTTCCCCCTTTGGAGCTCGAATTTTCCGAAACCCCTTCTTAGTGCTCACTTTCACTATAAGAGGGATCTTGTGTCTAAATTTCAGCTTCCTAGCTCTTACCGTTTGGGCTGTGCGTTGATTGCCAATCAGTCAGTCAGTCAGTCAGGACAAACTGTTTTATATATATAGAGATATGCCCAACCAAAGTATCTGGCTTTTTGGTAGTTCGGATTGTCGGAAGGGAAATAGCATATAGTAAATAATCATATACGTGTGTGTAATTGTAAGCAAGAAAAGATGGACAAGACCTTCTAGAATATAATAAAAATATTTTAAGTATATATAATAATTTATTTAAATCTATACTTGCCTAAATAAAAGCTTGCTTGGTTGAAATGCAACAATAATAAGGCACATCAAAAGCCATAGCCGGTCATTCCAGTCCTCATTTGGATTCTTTGTTGTTTGTCGCATGCATTGCACAAAAATTTCATCTCTTAGCTCCTCTCTTTCAATTCCCAATCCAATAATGTATTGAATAGACTGTAATTCACGTTCGGAACTAAGTTCTCCACGCATGTACTTCCATAACTCCTAAAAATAATTTAAGAGAGAGAGAGAGAAAAGATTATTATTTATCATTATTGACATATATTAGTATATTAACATAGTTTGAATATTATTATTATTATTTTTTTTTTTTATAGCCAATATAGCCAAGCCAGTCTGCCTGTCCTGTCCGTCCGTCTGTATGGACGAAAGGATCTCAGAAGGTACAAGAGATACAAGAGTACAAGAGAGGAAGAGAACTACCAAGCTCCCCGAAGCTCCAGGCAGATCAAGTTTGTTTGTTTTTTCTGGTACACCACCACTCCTCCTCTATTCGTAATTTTCCATAATGTTAATGTTAATTTTGGAATTTGGGAAATTGCCACAGAAATCGCTGAATCTCTCGGCTAGGCTTATTTTTAAAATCTCTAAACAAATCTGCCGGTGCCACAGCCCTTTGAGAAATTTCATTTTTTCGGATTTCCCTTTTAAGTCAGCTGTCAGCAACAGCTGACTGATTATGAAGAAGGTTAACAGACTCGGTAGGGCTGTCTGCGCACGTAACTAAACCTGGCAGTTCCGTATTTTCATATTTATTTGTCTTTTCTTGTTTGTAATTTTAATAAATTATGTAGCTAATTTTAAATTTAAAATATTATTTAAGAAATTTTAAAATAATTAAATGACACTCGCTTTACTCATAAAAAACATCAACATAAAATTTGAAGCTGTTTATCGCCAAGCTTTGCAACTCACATGACAGCCCTGTTATGTACATCATTTGTAACAACGGACCAGCCCACTCGGTGAAACACAATTATCGCCAAGTTTGTTTAATTAACAGTTTTCTGCTACATTTGAAGCAATAGTTGCGTACTTTATCTTTGATTTTTGCTAGACTCACAAAGATAAACTTAATTCAGCAAAATCGGATGTTCGAAAAATGGTATTTTGTATATGGGCCAAATTGGTACAAGGTGCGTTCCGATCAAATGATTGTGATCCCCAGTCAGCATCTGTATAACAAGCAAAATTTTCAAAGTTATTTTCAAATTTAGTTATACCTTTTGGTGCGCCTTTCAAATATCGCAAAACGTGTTTTGCGGCCGTAAAGTGCTCTTTGTGAGGATGATCGTTGAACTGGGACAACTTTGATACAGTGTACGCTATATCTGGCCTCGAAACCATGGCCAAATAGTTGAGTCCTCCAATAAGTGATTGGTATCTTTTGATGTCATCTACTTCGCAGCAATTGTTGTCCGTGCATTTCTGCAACACAGTGCCCATAGCAAGTGGTGTAAACGATGGCTTACAATCCTCCATATGCCAGTCTGTCAACAAGTTCTGCGTGTACCGATGCTGATGAATTGATATATCACCCTGTACGCCATCACGCTCGACTTCTAGTCCCAAGTAGTATTTTACTGGTCCTCTGTCAACTGCTTCAACGTGCTTGTTCATCGCCTTTACAATCGCCGCCAGTTTATTATAATTTGAACATGCGACCAACATGTCATCCACATACAATACAATTATATTGAAATCGCCATCTGTAGTTTCGTCGATGTATACACAGCTATCTGTCAAGCACTGCTTGAACCCAATTTCAGCTAGAACTTCAGATATCTTCGTGTTCCAATCATGACCTGCTTGCTTTAAACCATAGATTGATTTTTTCAGCTTACATACCGAATCCGGTTTCTGCTCATCAATAAACATCTCCGGCTGTCTCATATATACATCCTCCTGTAAGTTTCCATTAAGATACGCCGCCACGATATCAATATGATTAACAAATAATTTGTATTGCGCCGCTAGTCCTAATATTATCCTTATTGTCTGGTATCTTACTACTGGCGCATACGTCTCCTTGTAGTCGATTTTATATCTTTGCGAACAACCCTGAGCTACTAGTCGCGCTTTGTATCTCTCAATGTTTCCGGTTGCATCGCGCTTTGTTGTAAACACCCATTTACTACCTATGACGTTATATTTTTCATCATCATTAACAAGTTCCCATGTATGTTTTTTTATAAGTGTTTGATACTCTGCATTCATCGCTTCTAGCCAATTATTGCTGTTGTCGCTAGTCAGTGCCTCCTTTACGGTATTTGGATCCGAGTTGCAAACCTCCAGTTGGTTAACTGTTTGTGGAACCACGAAAACTTTTCTTGGCCTGTCTGGTTGACCCGTTCGAAGAGTTTTGGGACGACCTCGCTTTCGCTTTCCAGCCACAATGTTTTCTTCTTCGCTTTCATCAACTAGTATAGCATTCTCATCCATAACGACATCATTGACCTCTTCCTGATTGGCTACGCTGTTACCGCCCGTATCATTTGTGATCGCCAGATGATCCTCCAGGTCGAAAAAGTATTGTCGCTCTGCGTCCACGACATCCGCTCCTTCGCCGTCATCTCGACCAATTGTAAACGATTTTTCCAAGAAAATCACATCTCTGGATACGATAACACATCTTCTGAATGCATCATATAGTCTGTATGCCTTAGACTTCTCTGAGTATCCTACAAATATTAATTTTTGACCTTTAGTAGCGAATTTTGATTTACCTGGTTGTTTGTTTAAGCTGATGCTGTCACAACCAAATGTTTTTAAATGCCCGACACTCGGCTTCCGATTAAACCAACATTCATATGGAGTCATGCCGCTTATCTTCTTTGTTATTGCTCTATTCCGCAAGTAAGTAGCTGTATTTATCGCCTCCGCCCACAAGAATTGTGGTAGGTCTGCCGCATTTAACATGCATCTCGCCATCTCCACTAATGTTCGATTCGCCCTTTCAGCTATGCCATTTTGCTGAGGTGTATAACTTACGGTAGTTTGATGATTTATCCCGCGATTTCGAAGAAATGTATTAAAATCTGCATTAATGTATTCGCGGCCATTATAGCTTCGCAAACATTTTATTTTATACCCCGTTTGATTTTCCGCTTTTAACATAAAGTCTTTAAACGCGTTTAACGCTTCCGATTTCTTTCGTAGAAAATATGTCCATATATACCGCGTATGATCGTCTACAAAGTTTATTACATATCTCGCGCCCGATACCGATGCAGTACGCATTGGACCACATATATCCGTGTGTACAAGTTCAAGTTTATTTGATGTATAAATATCGTCATAACTTTCGAATGGCTTTCTTGTAATTTTACATGTCGCACATACAATACACTCTAAGTTTTTATACCCTGTACCCGTAGGGTAAAAAGGGTATATTAGGTTTGTGCAAAGTATGTAACATACAGAAGGAAGCATCTCCGACCCCATAAAGTATATATATTCTTGATCAGCATGACGAGAGAAATCGATCTAGATATGTCCGTCCGTCTGTCCGTCCGTCTGTCCGTCTGTCCGTCCGTCTGTCCGTCTGGATGAACGCAAGGATCTCAGAAACTATAAAAGCTAGAATAACCAAAGTTGGCATCCAGATTCTCCTAGGTCCGAGTAAGGACGAGTTTATTTTTTTTTTTAATTTTCCCCCCCTTCCCCCGCTACAGAATTTCGTCAATAGCGTCCACATTTCAAATGCTACCTAAACCAAACTTTGCACACATAATTTATAAGTAATTATCTACTTTTGTTTAAAATTTTATTCAATTCTGTCAATTCTAAGAAAAGTTATTAGCGAAACAAATTCTCGCCAGTACAACCCCCACAAACTGCAGCAACAAGTTCGCTCTTCTTCTTCCTCTTTTTGCTGCTGCTTTGGGCGCATATAACTCAGTGACGGAAGTTTACCTGGGTACAGGGTATTACACTGTCGGGCTTGCTCGACTGTAGCGTTCTCTCTTGTTATACCCTGTACCCGTAGGGTAAAAAGGGTATATTAGGTTTGTGCAAAGTATGTAACATGCAGAAGGAAGCATCTCCGACCCCATAAAGTATATATATTCTGAATCAGCATGACGAGAGAAATCGATCTAGACATGTCCGTCCGTCCGTCCGTCTGTCCGTCTGTCCGTCCGTCTGGATGAACGCGAGGATCTCAGAAACTATAAAAGCTAGAATAACCAAAGTTGGCATCCAGATTCTCCTAGGTCCGAGAAAGGACGAGTTTATTTTATTTTTTGGAATTTTCCCCCCCTTCCCCCGCTACAGAATTTCGTCAATAGCGTCCACATTTCAAATGCCACCTAAACCAAAAATAGATAGTAAAATGTCACTGCAGAATGGTGATTTAATTTTTACATTACCTACGCCGTGTGCTTTAACTTTATCACCTGATGCCAAAATTATACTCTCGTTGCTCTCTTTCAATTTTTCAAAGTACGCTCGTTTTTTACACATGTGAGATGAAGCACCGCTATCCAAAATCCATTGGTCGCTGCTTATACCCGTTGTACGACTGTACGCGCTCATCGCTGTGTTTATCCCACGCTTATCGCTTTTACATTGCGCTCTGATATGACCACGTTTACCGCATGCAAAACATTTTATGTTGCGTCTCCGTTCATTATCAGTTTCCTCGCTATTCGTTTGTACCCGAGTCGATTTCTTATTAAATTTTTTCATTCCCTTTGCCAAAAATATTTGCTCAGTTCCAGTACTCTCTTGACCTTTATCCTCTCTCCGATGTTCTTCTTCCAATATTTTGACCTTCAATTGACTTAGAGTCGGGAGCTGATCTCTGCATTCCATTGCTACAACAAAGTTATCCATGTCGTCCGGCAAACTACACAACAGCAAAATTGAAAGCAAATCATCTGGAACTTTAACATCGATCTCACTCAAATTTTCTGCAATGCTGCAAAATTTGTTCACTTGAGGGGAAACCTTATCATTGCTTTTGATCTGGAACCTTATCAATTGTTTGAATAAGCTAACCTTTCTAGCTGGTCCCTTGGCAAAATAAACCTCATGTAACTTATTCCATGCTTCCTGTGCACTGTTACATGTTCTTATATGTATTAACTCACTTGGCTTCACGCACATAATTATCATTGCCAATGCCTTTTGATCATTTCTTGTCCATAATAACCGATCCGTTGCAGGTATCGTATCTGGTGACAATTCTACATATTTCCATA